TTTTTAAAGCATTCTGTGCTATATTTTTAAACAAAAATTAAATCCTCGTTAGGAGAAAAAGTGAGTTGAATAATAAGTCTGCATTAGTAATCATAACAGCTAGAGCTGAGTATCTATTGCCAGGCAGTATTCTAAGTACTTCTACTTAGTCAAATCCTGGGACAAAAGCTCAATGACACTTTCTATTATCCCTACTTAATAAGTAAAGACATAGAGATTAGGCACCATCCCCAAAGTTTCCAATTGGTAAGAGGTTAATAAAAGCAGCTTAGGAATATGCTATCTGGACACCATAGGGCAGTTGCTTGTGACAGCTTGCACAAGACTTGGTCAAGCCCAAGCCAGACAAAACCCCAGCATGTATGGAAGAGGTGGACAAGAAGCCCCAACTCTAGCTGAGGCTCTACTGGCAACTGATGGCTGCTGGGAGAGGGAGAGTCAGTTTCCTTAGTGGTGTGATACCTAATAGATTGATCAGACTCCAAGGATGGACTCACAACCAAAAAGCATTTGGGGAACACAACTTAGATTTCATAGGCCTTATAAAAAGGATGATAGGGGCTGGAGAGATGGCTCAGAGGTTAAGAACACTGGTTATTCTTGCAGAAGACCCGGGTTTGAATCCCAACACCCACATGGCAGCTAACAACTGTCTGTAACTCCAGTCCCAGGGGATTCAACAGCCTCTTCTGACCTCCTCAGGCATTGCTGGACACGACACGGGTGCACTTACCTACATATAGGCAATACAAGCATACACATAAAAAAATTTAAAAAAGAGAAATAAAAAAGGATGATAATAATAGACAACATTAAGTTAGGGAGGGTGGTAGGATAGAAATTGGGAAGGAGTCTGAATATGATAAAAAATATATTGTATGGAATTTTCAAAGGTCAATATTTAAAAATAAATAAATAAAAGTATTTAAAAATAAGGGCAGCTGAACTCTGGAGCTTGCCTTCTGAAAGCTGAAGGATGCTACTGCTTGGGGTCATTGCAAAAGAGACTTTTCTTGGGGCTGGAGAGATGGCTTAGCCGTTAAGAGCATTGGCTGCTCCTGCAGAAGATCTGGGTTTGAATCCCAGCACCCACAGAGCTGCTAAGAAGTGTCCGTAACTCCAGTTCCAAAGGATCCGACGCCCTCTTCTGTCCTCCAAGGGCATTGCATGACACAGGTGCACTTACATACATGCATAACACTCATACACATAAAATTTAAAAAATATATTTTTTAAAAAGGAGATTTTTTTCTTGTCTCAGTGCAATGTTCAATGACCTGGGGCATGGGATGGATGACTCAACTAATTCAACAAGGTCAGGTACCATATATCTGTAAAGGTAAACCTAGCAAAGAAACCAGGCAGATGCTACAAGAGGATTCATTTGGGCCAATATCATCTTTTCTAAAGACCAAGCAGCTCTGAACACAAATAAGCTCAAGGACTGAATTCCTGTCTCAAGAGAGAACTGATCACAGGCTTGAGAACTGATAGTTTCAGCCAACAGACCTTGCAGGATTCAGGGAAATCAAGATGATTCTCATAATTTCTATATGGAAAAAAAAAAAAAAAAAAACCTGATGTCCTCAGGCATCTTTATCTCCTTTATGCAGAGCTGACTGGCTTGGAATTCTGATCCTTCTGCTCAGACATCTTTTGACTCCTAAAAATAAGTTCCAGTAAAGTTCATTCATAAATTTTTAGGAGGGAGATAACCACATTCTTTGTCCACTCCATAAGCAGTATAATTACTAGCTCTGTGACCTACACAAGCTCTGCAACCTCTAGGCCAAAGTTAGCTCACCTGTGAAATGGGGGTGCATCCTACTATCTTGCTTGACAGAAGGCAAGAGGTGGATCGATCTGTTATTTGAAGGCAACTGAAGCTCTAACTGAACAACAGCACTCAAACTGCAAGAACTGAGGCAGAAGCTGTGCAATCTTTACTCCTTAAAAGCCAGAGCTGCCAGGCATGGTGGGGCACACCTCTATTTGATCCCTGCACTTGGGAAGCAGAGGCAAGCAGATTTCTGTGAGATGGAGGCCATCCTGATCTGCACAGTGAGTTCCAAGCCAGCTGGGGTTACAAGGACACCCTGTCTCTAAAACAAAACAAAAAATAAACCAAACAGCTCCACGTGGTGGCGCTCGCCTTTAATCCCAGCAGAGGCAGGCTTCAGAATTCTGTGTTCAGAACTCTGTGAGTTCAAGGCCAGTCTATTTAGTGAGTTCCTGGACAGCTGGGTCTACAGGAATTCCTGGAGTCAAAAAAACCAACTGAACAAAATAAAAGCCAGAGTTCTCCACTCCATTTTTAACTGTCTGTAACCAAGCACTCTCCACAGGCTAGTCAAGCTCCTCGCCTCTCTCTAAGAGCTTTGTTTTGCACCTCAGGGATCCAAACCAGTCTCCAGTATTAAAAACTTAGTGGTGATGTTTAAGGACTAAGGAATACATAAAACAACCAAGTTGCTGACTTAGATCTTTTTTAACACCAGGAGAGATGCTTTGCCAATTCATTCTGGACCATACATCTCATTCGTTAAAAAAAAAAAAAAAAAAAAAAAAAAAAACCTTAAAACAAAACTTATGGCTAAGAACAAGACCTGCACTCATTTTACAACATAAATATTTCCATCTACTTTCACATCATGTGATTTATATGCAGGGTTTTTTGTTGTTATTATTGTTATTTTATTTTATTTTCAAGAGAGGGTCTCTTTGGAGCCCTAGCTGGCCTGGAATTAACCATGTAGAGCAGGTTGGACATCTGATTCACCTGCTTCTGCCTCCTGAGTGCTGGGACTAAAGACATATACCACCACCATGACACCCGGCCTAATTTTTTTTAACTAAATAATTAACTACAAAAGATGTCCTTAGGATAAAACCCCTTCAAGTGGCATTTTACCTTCGGGCTCTGCCTAACTCCCCTTCTGTCCCTTCCTCTTCTCTATTCCTAACACTGAAATAAGAATGTAGGGTAATAAAAACTCCACGTCAGTAGACGGTGCCAAAAAGTGCTATTTTACTTCCTGCCTCCTTTAATTTTTCCGTTTTTTAAAAATGTTATTATTTTTATTTTATGTATGAGTGTATCGCACACATGCGTGTAAGTGCTCCTGTGTAGTGCAATGCCTGAGGAGGTCAGTAGAGGGGGTCGGATTCCCTTGGAACTGGAGTTAGGGACGGTTGTTGCCACCATGTGGGTGCTGGAAACCGAACCTGAGTCTCCTGCAAGAGCTGCCAGTACTCTTAACTGCTGAACCATCTCTCCAGCCCTATCTTTATTTTTTTTTTCTTTTAAAACCAGCCCCTCTCCACCCACTCCTCATATCGTAGAGAGTAGACTTGAACGTTCACTTCTGCTTTTTAGTGCTGAACAGGAAAAGGGGGTGCAGACAAGGGGTAAGAAATTGTTGCAAAACGCCCACAGATGAATTAACTAGTTTTGCTGTTTCAAACTCCCATACTCACCGAATTTAAGAACACCGTTGTCCTCCTCTGCTTTAAGGACTGTGGTTCCAACGGTCTCTGGGAAATAACCACAGAGGAGGTCTAAGGCTGTTCTTCAAGCCGAGCAGAGCTCGCTTCGGGTCCTGAGGTTTCGGGAACAGCATCATCTTTTAAGGATTACCGCACCTCCACCGGACTGGAACATTCCTAGAGCTCCAGAGACTTAATTATTCTGCTCGAAGAAGCACGCCCTTGGGACGGAGGACGATCTTCCCAGTCAGGACACTGGGTGCCTCTGGGTTCGGCTGGGGTCCCCCGCGCACCCCACAAGCTGTCACTCCCTGGGTGCGCGAAAGGTGACCGCGGTCACGGAGCGCTCCTCTGTCCTCTTGGTCATGAGCCCCCTGGTCCAGGAGGTTTGCTGCACCTCCTGGGTGACGTGGTAATCCTCCACCCGCACCAGCACCGATCTGGGTGGGGCTGGGGGGTCCCGGGGCTGGGCTTCCCGGGCGACGGCGATGCGCCTATGAGAAGTCCTGAGTTCCGGGTGCTGATGGTGGAGGTCCCCAGTCACCGGGACCAGGTCCTCCGCACCAGCCTGGCTTGCGCTCCCAGGGTCCCCTTGGGTTCCCAGCCACCTCTCCGGGTGCAGAAGAAAGAGCACTTTCTCTCGGACCCAGGACTCGCAATCCGAGTGCTCCGAGCTTCGCAATCGCGGGTCCCCACCTGCTCCAGACAGGCTCCGGTTCGCCGGGGCTGGCGAGGGATTCCGGGCGCTAGGAGTCCGGGTCTCCAAGCTCCCCACCTGGCGCGGAGAGCACCCCGCGCGCCCCGGCCAGCTCGCAGGACTCGCGACTCCCTGGGGTCTCCCAGGCCGCATGTCGGCGGGAGGGTCATCCATGCATCCAGGCTTCACAGGTTCGGGGAGCAAAACCTCAGCTGTGTAAAGAAAAGCGCGGGCCGGCAGGCTTTGGGTGTGGCCTGAGCGAGCCACCCACTGGAGGAGCAGCCCAAGGCTAGGGCTGCAAACCGCCTCCTCTCTCCATCTCAGCCTCTGACCTCGGTACTCTCCACCCAGGCAGAAACAGCCTGACACAGCCTACTAATGGCTCCTTTTCTTCCTCCTGCTGGCCCTAGCCTTGACTTTTTGCGTGTATTTGATTCCAACCCAATGATTGCTCCCGGAGGTCCCCCCCACCTGCCTTTCCAACCTTTTAGTCTCTATAACTGAACTTCAAGAGGCTCCAGTACTGGGGCCACCTCAAATGCTCAAAACACTGTTTCCTTCTTTCCTTTCCACACACAAGGAAGAACACACAAGAACAAGTAAACTTGTTCAAGCAAGAACAAGCAAGCTTGATTTTTAGTCATCTGATTGAGCCAAATTCTTTCGGAAAAGATTTTTATTTATTTATTTGTTTATTTGAGAAAAGGTCTCACTCTGTACTCCTGACTGGCCTCTAATTCACTGTGGAGCCAGACTAGACTTGAACTTGTTGAATCCTCCTGCCTCAGTTTCCTACGCTCTTTTTTTAAAAAAATATTTTTTTTATTTTTAATTTACTTTATGTATATGAGTGTATTGTCTGCACACATGTAAGTGCACCCATGTGAAATGCCTGAGGAGGTCAGAGAGGGCTTGGATCCCTTGGAACTGGAGTTACTCATGGTTGTTAGCCATCATGTGAATGCTGGGAATCAAACCTGGGTCCTCTGCAAGAGTAGTCAGTGCTCCCAATATAGAACCAGATGGTCTTAGGGGTTGAAGGACCAGATGCTCTGTGGTCAGGAGTCCCATTTGTGTGGTGCCAATTTCCTTCCAAAATTGTATGCAGATCAACATTCTACCCTACTCTCAAATATTTGATTTTCACGGATTTGGGATTAGGCTTAGAACAGTGATTTTTAGCAAGGGCCTCAGTAGTTGTGATGCTGGTGGTCCATGGATGTTAGGAGAAGCACATTGCAAATTCACAGTTCCAATCCAGTGATGACACAGATGCCACTGGTTAGACTAAGTGGGTCACAAAATGAAACTAAAAGTCATGAGTCTGGGAAAGGGACTGGTAGGGATTTGAGGAGTTTGACAGGAATGGGAGGAGGTTGAGAGAGGGTGGAAATATTCAGAATATATTATACACATGTATGAAGTTGCCAAAAGAACAGAATTACCAATAAAAAATCTTCGAGGATAAGTTCCAGGCTCTTTATGCTGCCTTAAATTTAAAACACAAACACTGTCCTTTTATTTTTTACAGGGATATTGGGAGAATTCTAGTAAATGCATACATGAAGGAAGTGTAATATAAGCTATGGATTTATTCTTCCAGGTAGATCCCTTGCCTTGGAGTTAGGATGAAGAATCAGAGTCAGGTATGGATACTGGAAAAACATTTGCTGAGGATGAGGCTAACACTTCTCTCATATAGTGCCTAGATTTTTCTTTTTTAAACAGGGCCTCCCTAGTCCCAGCCTGCCAGGAAGTCACTATATGGAATGTGGATCAGGCTGACCTCAATCTTGCAGATTTACCTGCCTCTGCCTCCCCAGGACTGGGATTCATGCCCCAAGCCATAAGCTCCCCCCCCCTTCCCCCGCTCCCTGCAAAAGCACCTAGATTTTCAAATGGGAGGAAATTGTTTATTAACCAACAAACACATCACATTAATATACCAACAACACATTTGTTGGGTATAGTCATATCCTCCAAATTTAAAAAATTCTCCTTTGGAGGGACAAGGGAAGTTCATTACACTCAGGAAGTGAACAAAACTTGGGAGACTCAGGAAGCTCCTCAAGGTTGTGTGAACAGTAACACTTGCTGGAGAAATCAGCCTTTGCTGCCTGCAAGTTGTGCGGGAAATTCCACCCATGCAGCTCTGTGAGCTGTCAGTCATGTTGGGTGCGCTTTCCAGTGATGTGGCCTCCCTTGAGTCACCCATGTTCCAGTAAGAAGCTCACTGGCTCACTGACCTAGACTCACATGACATCATCTCTTTGGCGTGTCATGAGTGTTTTATCTGAGGTAAACACACACTTGTTCACATCTCTGTACAAGAAGTCACTTGCCTTTTAATATCTCAAAGTGCCTAAAAGATGAATGAAAGGTGCTAAAATCAACCCATTGACAGTCTCTCTAAACTACCTATGAAAGCTGAAAATATGGGGCTCAGTGAGGTTTGGAAGACTCATGTTGCTAGGGTCTGAACAGTAATGTTGGAACAGAAGAAGACTTTTATTAAAAGATAAAAGTGCAGCCATTCATTTTTGTTTTCCTGTAGGATAAGTATATTCTTGGTGTTTTCATTTTATTGATTAGACTCCAAAGGATGGTTGTTTTGGCGTGTGTTGGGGGTGGGGGGGACTCCAGGGGGGGCCTAGGACATGCTAAACAAACCCTTTACCACTTACCTACATCCCTGTCCTTCAGGAGTTATTCAAGTATTTATAATACAGTGTCCTATATTTATAATACAGTGTCCTCTTCCTCTAGCTTTACCCTCTACTTGCAGGCTCTTGGCTTAAATTTACATCCACATTAACATCTTAGAGCATTCTTCCCTTATCAGATCTAACATTCTTGAGTTGAGAAACTGGTCTAGTAACCAGTTTTCAGCTTGTAAGAAAGTAAAACCCAGTCCTTCCAGCAGCAGGAAGTAAGAGCCTAACAGGAATGAAGTCAGCAGTCACAGAAAACAACCATCACACATCACACATGTTTTTTTCCAAACCGCAGAATCATGTTTGGAAAAAGACAAAGTATGTTAGTCAGCTTTCTGCTGCAAAAACAAATACTTGGGATATAACTTAATAAAGAAAAGGTTCATTTTGGCTCAAAGCTTCATAGGTTTCCAATTATGTTGCTTGACCCAGGTTGTATTGGGTCCTTAGTGGACTGGTACACCATGGTGGGAGCAAATGGTAGAAGAGGTCACCTCATGACAAAAGGAAAGCAAAGAGAGTGTCAGGAAGGGGTCAGGATCCCAATCTGTCTTCCAAGGACATTTGCCTAATAACTTCCTTCCACTAGGCTCTACCCCCTCCCAAAGGTTCTACCACCTCCCAGTAGCATCAAAGCCTAAGTAGGGCTTAAGCCCTCAACACATGGGCCTTTGTGGAATATTGAAGATGCAAACTCAGCACAAGGACATAACAAACCATAAAGGATTACATACCCTCCTCTTAGAGTTAAAAGAGGTAAATATCTCTCCTTTCAATGATGCATGTGGTTTCCATTTACGTTTCCATTTGCATTTACATTACGTTTCCATTTACATTTAATCTCATTCCCTAAATAAAAATTCCTGAGGTACCTGATCACAGAATTGAACCCATTTCTGGGCATTATCAACTTCAGTGCTGCACCTTACTCTCCTAAATCTCCTTTAGGACACTAATTCAAATCCAAATCCTGTAAAAAGTCTTCCTCTAGCTCTCAGTGAAAACTTCCCTGATGACTCAAAAGTGTGTTCTTACCTGCTAGAGTAAGAAAAATAATCCTAATTCTTTTTTT